GTGCGTGTGTGTGTGTGTGTGTGTGTTTGTGCTGCAGCAGGAAGAGCCAAAACTAAGTCCGACAACAACATTCGTCTATGCGCTTCGCCCCTCGTTAATCATCGTCATCATCCCTGTTATCACCCTGATCAGCGCACTGCCATCACAATCACCATGGCCTTCTATCGGACTATCGTCGTTCAGCAAGACGGCCTTAGGCCTATAAACTCTAATTTTAATGTCAACTTCCCAAACCCCCAAATGACCCTCAACCTTGCTCAGGTGAAGGGCAAAGACTGTGCACGATCGAAGCGGGCCTCACAGGCTCTGTGCATGCCCCTCGGGGCACTTTTGGTGTGTTGGGCATGTGCTCTTTGGACATCTCTTTTTTTCTGTGTCTACCCTTTGTGGGTTGGGGGTATGCCAAGTCAGGGATCTACGCTTTCGGGGTGTAGGGTGGTTGTAGCAATACAGCTGCAGGCGAAGCTTGGAGTGAAGATTCTGGCAGCTTCCTGACAGGGCTTTTGGGTGTACCTAAACCCTCGATTGTATTTGGTCCTTTCCTTGGCTAGCCTTGTTCATGCTTAGGATCCGTCACTGAGCAAGCATGTAGCCGCACACAGAGATTTAATGTAAGGGTGCAGGCACAAGTAAACGAACATCTGCGCGTCGGCGGTTGTGAACTCAGACAACTTTCGCCAGCAAAACGTTAAACAAGCTATACCCCAATGCAGACATTCGGGGCAAAGGTACTTACTACGATGATTATAAGCCCTCCCNNCCCCCCCCCCCCCCCCCCCGCAGTCCTGGTCGTAAAGTCAGGCGAGTTTTCGGCACTGCCCTATCCTAGGTGGGCCTTCGGGAATGTTTGATATCCTCTTCTTTTGGCATCGTACTGTTCGAATTTAAAGGGCCAACCATGATGCCGGCCGACCCAACCCAAAGGCTCTCCTGCTGCTGGCTCCTCGTCTGTCTTCTGAGGTTAAAGACGGGCTAAAGTCCTTGTTCGGGGGATAGTAAAGACGAGCTAAAATGTCATTAGTTTTTGGCCTGGTTGCCTAGCGTGTGTATATATATATATATATATCGAGTATGCAAGGTTCATGTTGATGGCAAGCCGTAGCTGCAGCTACAGTCATGGCTAGAACTGCTTCTAGCAGGATCCTTAATGCATGGACATCGAAAAGGAACCCACCAAGTTTCGGAACCCCCAACAACAATCCTCGGATAAGACCCCCAAATGCCCTAGATCAGTTGCCCTTTATGTTCAGAAGCCCCAGTCACCCGAAACCCTGAACCCTAAACC